TAAACAAGTCTTGCAAACTATTACAATGTGCACTGTGTTGAAAATGATGTTGATAAGCTACTGCTACTCTGGTGTAACAGTCTTCCAATCCCATACATGTTCAGGCCAGACAGAAGGGCTGTGATCCGGGGGGGGGGGGGGAACCCCACAAGAACTGCAGCCATAGAAACCCTGTCAATGCCCACCAATCAGGAGCAGATACAGTGAGGACACCCACATACCACCCCCCCCCCCCCCCCCCCGGAAGGGAGTCAATTAACCTAACTCACCCTAGGACACCTCTCTGCATCACTCCACTATATAATGGCATCACCCTCCAGGCAAAGATTTGGATCCCCTTTGTCATAGACTTATCATCATAATACATCCATGGATGAAAGCAGAGGTCCCACGATGCAGTATTTCCAGGGGGCCCTTGGCAGACTTCTTGTGGAAATACACAAAGTCTTGCTTGGGATAAGGACTGAAGATCATTTCAAGTGGGTGGGAGAAACTCTTTGGCTTATCAGGAAAAGCAAAACAGGCAAAAGCCAAGTAGCAAGCAACACTTTTTGATGACTCATTAGACCAAAGGACATAGTTGGGCAAATTTTTATCATGCGGGGTTTCCCTAAATGCCAGCTTCTTTTTCTGTTATCCCTGACAAAATAAAGACTGCATTTACAGGCATAGAACTGAGTTTTGTTTTGCTGCCAAGGCAGTTATTGAACTGAGATTTACTCCAGAGCAGGGGTGTTACACTCATTTTCAACTAGGGCCATGTCAGCCTAATGATTTCTTCAAAAGGCTGGTTGTAATTTGTAAGACTGTATATATTAACTGTTTTACCCTGGCATTGAAAGTCTTGTGGGCCACATTAAAATGACATGGTGGGCCAAATTTGGCCCTCAGGTCTTGCATTTGACACATTTGTCTAGAATTAAACTGTGTTTTGTATGATTAGTAGAAAACTGTCCAAAGAGGATAAGCATGCCCACTTTCACTTTGGTCTTACCTACTCTCTCCTTGGTCTCTTCCATTCTTCCTTTTATTCCACCCACCCCAAGTTGGAATTCTGCCCAAAGTCTGCCATTTCTCAAAAAAAAAAAAAGTATCCCACACAGTACTCTTCTATCTGACCTTAATTTGTCGTTATCACAAGGGACAGATATACATCACTTATAAAATTGTCTATGGATCTCCAGTAGGCTCCTGCATTAATACAGTGCTATCTGCCATGGCGCATCCTGCTAACTGTTGATTCTTTCATAGGTCTTTCTGATGGGAGCTGCTGGGAGCTGCTGTTCAGGAAGTCAGAAAATTGGGCCTCCTTGCTCTGCATTTTCTATACTGACAGGCAGTGGCTTGGCAATGCTCAGATCACAATATTTCTGAGCCTTGTTTGGAAACATCAAGGATTAAACCACTGTAGACAAAGCACATGGCATACAACTGAACTTTGGTTCTTGCCCTACAGCAGCTTTAGAGATAATGTGGCCCTCCAAATGTTGAACTGCAATTCCTATGCCTTACTATTGGCCAGTTGCTTGACACTATTTAGAACAGGAGTCCAGCAACATTTGGAGATTGCTTTCCAGTTGTTCAATAAGATACAACATTTTCCATAGTTGAAGTGGAATGAAGTGTGGGGACAGGTCCTATACCCATGAATCCATACTTTGTACAGCTAGCAAGGTGAAACATAATAGGCAACTACTGCGACATATAATCCTTATACTAGGCATGGAAACAACATGGCTCACCCAATGTTATGGAGCTGTAATTCCTAACAGTCCTGATCAGTTTAGGTGATAGTCAAGAATGCTGAGACTTGGAGTCCAACATTACCCCAAGGGTCACAGTTTGTCCATTTCTGCCCTAGCATAGTTGGTGACTCTGACAAAGGGAAAAAGAAGGCAGACCAGTGGCTTCTGGAGATCAATGTACCACAATGTGATCCAAGGAAATATCTTGCTCCACTAAAATCTAGGATGGAACTGAAAATCTAAAATACTTCAAAATTGCCCATGTGTGGCTGAGATACTGACACTTTTGGTTTCTGATTGTTCAGTATACACAAACTTTGTTTTATGACCAAAATGATTAAAAACATTGTATATGAGTTATCTTCAAGCTATACGTATAAGATATATATGAAACATGAGTGACTTTTGTGTCCCGTCTCCAAAATATCTCATCTTAATATACACGTATTCCAAAACCTGGAAAAATTAAAAATACTTCTGGTCCCAAGCAGTCTGAGTAAGGGAAACTCAATAGCTTTCTATTGGCTTTGCATTCATGTGAATGTTGTGTGTAGACTGAAGTATACAGGAGAAATTCCTGAAGGCTTAAGACATATGCTTTATCCCATGTATGGCATCTCATAGGAAGATGAGGGGTTTTTAAATTCTGCAATGAGTTTGCCTCAAACATGGAATTTTTCACAGGATCCAGTCATAATTTTCTTTCATTTACAACCATTTCCCTCACCAATGCTTCTTGGCTTTTTTATTTCCACACACGTGCACATGCACGCACATATACGCAGACAGATATTGTGAAAGAAGGGAAGATAAAGTAGCTGAGTAATGCCTTTTGACCTCATAGTGGTAGGAGCTTTCTGGAAGCCCCATCGAGAACAAACAGAGCATGCATAGAGTGGCCCTTGAAACACTGCAAGGGACATGCAAACACACCACAATTTGTTAAAGAGGGAAAGATAAAGCAGATGAGCAATGCCTTTTGACCTGTTAGCTGTAGAAGCTTTCTAGAAGCCAGAACAAATAGCATATGCAGAGAATGGCCCCTGAAACACTCCAAAGGACAAGCATTTGGGATAATAATAATATAATATAATATAAACTTTATTTTAATACCCCGCCAACCATCTCCCCTAGGGGACTCGGGGCGGCTTACAAGGGACACGCCCAAAATTACAATTAAAACACACAAATAAAACACTTTAACCAATTAAAATATCAGATAAAACAAATACAACAAAATTGAAAGCAATATAAAAACAATATGGCTGAAAGAAACATAGTTGAGGTACAGATTCAATGAGTGCAATACATTTTTACAGGAGTGCAGGAAAGTGCAACAATATAGTAAACTGGACAGGAAATACCGTCATAACACATGTTGAGGTAGATCATATGCCGGTGTAAAGTGCGGGCTGATGTAAAGTGCGGAACCTCAAGTAGGGACAGGAAAGTTACTGGTGAGCTGCTTAATCCCCTGGCAATGATGTGAATCCAGGGCAGATTATATTCCTATCCCATATTCTCCAACATTTCATTTGAGAAACTGCAAGTTGCTTCTGGTGTGAGAGAATTGGCTGTCTGCAAGAATGTTGCCCAGGGGACGCTCAGATGTTTGGATGTTTTACCATACTTGTGGAAGGATTCTCTCATGTCCCCGCATGGGGAGCTGGAGCTGACAGAGGAAGCTCATCCGCACTCTCCTCGAAGTTGAACCTCCAACCTTCTTCAGTCCTGCCGGCACAAGGGTATAACCTATTGCACCAGTGGGGGCTCTATTTGACTGGAGAGTTATGTGCCGGCAGCTTATTGGCTAAGCATGCCAGGAGCCAGAATTCTGATTGGCTACTGTCTCTGGCTTGCTGCTGAGACAAACTGTTCTAACGGCCACTTTCACCTTGGGAGAGTGAAGAGAGTGCTGACTGGAAACAGCCAGGAAGGAAACGGCTGCCAACTCTCTGAAGCCTAATTATTTCTAAGGCATAAAACATATTTTAAAAGGACTGCTTATTCCTTCTGTTCTCTGTGTGTGAATTCAGTCAGACTGCTGTATATATTGTTGCCCTGTTTGATCTTTTGAACAGAAGTAAAGATACTGTTACTTATTACACAAGGCCAAGTAACACTTTACTATACTGCAGGGTATATTTTGGTTCAGGAACTGTGCTAAAACTTCTCTCTCTCTCTCTCTCTCTCTCTATATATATATATATATATACCCCCCCCCCCCCCCCATATTGCACTGGGACAAGATGGCAAAAATGTATTAATGATGGAAAAACAGAGATGCTAGGAGAAGCCGCAACAACTTTTTTCCTGCCTGATCCTACTGGGAAGGGCAAGGTTCCTCTTCTCTTGGCTGATTTAACTGAGGAGAAATTACTTTTGGACTATGAACTCATTTTCCAGCAACTGAATTTAGCTGTGGACAAAGGCAAAAAATAGGCCTGAAACCACACTACAGAATCAATGTGATTTAACACAGCTTTTACTGCTATGGCTCAATGCTATGGAATCGTGGGAATTGTAGTTTGGTGACGCTCCTGGGCTCTTTGGCAGAGAAGTCTAAACATACTGCAGAACTACTACTCCCAGGATTCCATAGCCTTGAGCCATGGCTATTAAAGTGGTATCAAACTGCATCAATTCTGCAATGTAGATGCACCGGGTTTATATTTTAAAAGCAGGAAAAATGGGATGTCAGAATAGTAACTTGTGCCGATGAAGAACAATTAAATTTTTCACAATTCCAGTTTCATACGCTAAAGACTTTTACAAATTTAATTATGACGGGCTAGTAATGGGAAACAAATACATATAATAATAATAACAACAACAACATATCCCTGCATAAGAATAAAAGAAATGTAAACGATATATAAACACAGGTGGCCATATCCAAATGGAAATAGTATTAGGATCTCAACGTGCCTGGAAGGGAATCCGCAGACTAAAAATACCTCCTCTATAACAGGCAACGTCCCTGTAATGGTCTGAGCTGGCAGAGCTTCCTGCAGGTCACGTGACTTCTATTCCTCAGGAAAGCCCTGTTCTCAGTGGTCAACAAACATCTACTTTTACAGCCGCTGGAACGGAGCCTGGAGCTCCCGCAGAGCGGTGGGAAGGGCGGAAGTAAGCCGTCACTCCGTAGGTGATGTCAGCCTATCAGAGCTCGCGCCCTGCCGTCGCAGGAGAATGTAGCCAATCCAAGAAAAGCTTATTGAACTGTGCCCGAAGTCACACTCATTGGTAATCTGGGGCAAAGCGGGCTATTTGCCAGTAACAAGGATGGTGGTTCTAGTGGTGTTTGGGGAGATAGAGTAGGATTGCCTCCGGGCGGCCCCCGAAGTTGTTAGAGAAACCCCCCCAGTTTTATGTCCTGGAGCCCAAAGGAGGGAGGCCTCAGGGGAAATCTGGTGAGTAACTTTCTTCCAGTATTCTTTGGGGCCGGTGGGGAAGAGAGTTGTTTGGAGTTGGGGATCCCCGCTGCCAACTGTTATGCCTCATTGCTGTTCCCTCATAAAAGTTACCAGTGTGAAAAGCTGGAACGAGTTCCTCTGCTTGTGATGGTCGTGTAGAAGGAGGATTTCAGCAGTTGTGCTTTGTCATGCAACCAGGCCACAAGTAACACTTCTACCCAGACATTCAAGGCAGAGGAGCCCCTCCAATGTCCACTCTGGCAATCCTTCAAGGTGTGTGAATGGGGTTTCTCCGAACATGGAAAGGATACAGTGTGACTGAGGCCCCATCTACACTGACAATTTAATGCACGTTTAAGCTAGCTCCAGACTGCAGCAACCAGGCAGCAAACCCCCACAAAAGTGTGTGAATGGAAGCACTTGAGGTGCACCAGTGCTTGGTATCATTACCATTTTGGCTTTAGACTGATTCTAGGATTTCCTATGTAATAATCTGCAAAGCAAAACCACTTTCTCCAGCCACAATGCAGAATTATAGCAGATTATTATTATTATTATTATTATTATTATTATATTTATACCCTGCTTTATCTTTCCTGCAGGAGACACAAAGCGGCTTAACATAAAAGCATCAGCATACAATTTAAAATATACAAATATGCAAACATGAAAACAGGATTAAATATAAACAATATTAAAGAATTCCCAGTTAAAAACCATTAAAACATATACAGAGTTTGGCACCACTTCAGCTGCCATGGCTTAATGTTACAGAATTTAGGGATTAGAAGTTTTGTGAGATATTTAGCCTTCTCTGCCAGACAGCTCTGCTGCCACAACAAACGATAAATCCCAGAATTCTGTAACATTGAGCCATGACAGTTAAAGTCAAACTGCTATAATTCTGCATTGTGACTGGACTTGCAGTCCCTTGCCACGAGAGACCAAGGCATCGATCACCTGAGGTCTCGTGCCTCATAGGCAGAGACAGTTCTGGCCTTTTGCAGCAGAGTTAGTCCCTTCCTCCTACTGCATGCACCTTTTATATTTCTGGTAAAGGCCTGCTATGGCTGTCGCAGGAGTCTGGAGCTTCTGTCTTCTGACCGGTCTATTTCATTACAGTGTTATTAGGAGCAAGAGGTTACAAATTACATCAGCTGGTTAACCCCACAGCTGTGCGATAGAGCATGGTGACATTGTGATGCCTGTCAGAGATGCTTTGCACTCCTATAGTTGGGCTAAGTATTTGTTGTTGTGTGCTATCAAGTGATTTCCGATGCATGGCAACTTGAAGGTGAACTTATCTCAGCGTTTCCTGGGGCTGAGATGTGTGACTTGCCCAATGTCCCCCGGGGGTTTCCATGGATGAGTGGAGAATCAGATCCTGATCTTCAGAATCACAGTCCAATTCTCAAGCAAAATGGAATAATGTAGGAAAAGGGGAAGATTACATTACAGATGGATTGATTTGGTCAAGGTACTCATGGCTGTTCTGAGTCTGCAAGATCTGAGCAGGGCTGTTGATAACAGGATACCATAGAGATCCTTATAAATGGGAGCAGACTTGACAGCAGTTAACAACAACAAATACTGTATTATATAAACGTGTCCCTAGTTGCTTTGTGCCAATTTTCTTTAGTAAACATCAGTATTTAAAATTTTTGTTTTTTAAATCCAGGAACCTATTTGCAATCTAGTTTTCTATAAATATTGGAATATTTCTTTGCAGCTGAATGTCCTTTTGACAGCTTTCTGCTCCCATTCATCTGAGTAGATGGCACTTAAAAATATGCGTCAAGGGTTGTTTAGTTGGACTGATTAGTGAGTGACTGTGTCTAATCTATTTATTTATTTACTATATTTATACCCCATCCTTCTCACCCCGAGGGGGACTCAGAGTGCCGCATATAAAAACATAGAATAAAAATATAATGTGCAGTACAAACCACACAATTAAAGCATATAAACATTAATACCAATTATTTAAAACCACACAGTCTAAAATCATATTGTCATACCTAGTAAATTTTAATCATGAATTTTAAAATCACATATTTTGTTTTAATCTTTTTTCTATGAATTTTAATATACATTTTTAAGAAATATCTACATTATGGTTGATGACACAGTATGAACTAGTGGTTAATACCAAGCTTGCCTATCTTGGTTTCTGTGTTCTGTGGGATGCATTTTGGACAGACTCTAGCCTTTTCCAATCTAGTTAGTGTTTTTGCTAGCTAGATAGGACAAGGCCAAATCCATCAGCTCCACAGCAGACACCAGTGCTAAATGCAGTACTTAGAATTAAAGAATTTTGAGCTCAGGAGGTTTTTTTTGGGTTTTTTTTTTTGCGTGCCCAAACTGAATGCAGCTCACACCCTTTACCAAGTATGCCTTTATTCGTTTCAGCCACACACAGGAATGGGGATGCCTCTTTTTAAACGATTGGAAGCCAGAAATTTTTGCCAGTCTATTACATTCACTGAGCTCTACCAATATATCAAGTTTTGTTTTCTTCCTGCCCTTATTGCAATACATTTATACTTTCAGTGGTCAAAAAGTTGATCTTAGGCCCCCTCCACACAGATGTATAAAATCCACATTGAACTAAATTATATGGTCGTGTAGACTCAGATAATCCAGTTCAAAGCAGATATTGTGGATTACCTGCCTTGATATATGGCTGTGTGGATGGGCCCGTAGTAAGAATGTGGCATTTTCGTTCTATGGTGATGATCATATTCTGGCATGAATCATTCGCACTGCTTTCTTTTCATCTCTCTGGAGAAGTAGTTTCTCCTCCTGGGATGCGTCTCGCTTAGATGACTGTTCCTTGGCACTGTCCTATGACTGGCTTCTTTTAAAGCAGTGTTGCTTTAAAAAGATTATTTAGAATGTAAACTTGAAATGCAACTGCAGAAATAATAGCTTGATCTGATTTTAGATTTTGGAGCAAAAGGTCACAGACCAAGAACAGTTGCGCTTTTACTGCTATTCAAACTGGCACTTTAAGGCTTATATATTAATATAAGGCTTACATATTAATATAATATATTATAGTATTAATATATTACTCATGTGTTGTGCTAATAATATAATATATTGTATACACATATAATATTGATAATAATATTATAATGTAATACAGTATAATACTAATAATAATACAATATAAGAATTATATATTTTATATGGGAATGTATGTTACTATTGTGCTACGCTAATTTTATATATATATATATATATATATATATATATATATATATATATATATATAAAAACAAATAACTTGAAAACCACTCTGAGTATCCTTCGGGGCGAGAAGGGTGGCATATAAATGTTGTAAATAAATATATAAATATTCCCAGTTATCATGAATAAGTATTTTTGACCTCATGGGCTAGAGGGAAGCTATAAAGATTGTTCAGTGTAGGTAATTTTGTGGCTAGCGTTTTTTTTTATTACATATTGGAAGGAATTCAGAACTATATGGGCTCTTTTACACTGCCATATAATCCAGAATATCAGGGTAGATAATCCACATAATCTGTTTTGAGCTTGATTATCTGAGTCTACACTGCCAGATAATCCAGTTCAAAATAGATAATCTGGATTTTATACAGCTGTGTAGAAGGGGCATAAATTAGACTGTAGTCCTGTCAGTTCTTACCCAGGAGTATGATGTACTCAGTGCACAAAAATGAGTTCTGTATACACATGCTACAAGATCACTCTATTACTGGTGAGTCTGAGAGAGAATGATCTCCCAAGTTAAAAATAATAGCAGACAAAAGGATTTGAACCTATGTTTCTCACATCTTAAGCGAACACCTGGCATAGTAAGAATTTGCTGGCTGACGTTATCCTTTCTGTGTAGTAATTATAAATGCCGTTGATGAGAGTGTCATATGTACATGATTATTAAATTAAAAGAGTGGTTTATCATTTAATCTTTCATATGTATTTCTTCAGAGCCTGTGGTATTGTTGGCTTCCCAGCATCTGATTAAAAGGTTCTAAGACTCTGGAAAGGAGTCAGGAACGTGCTGTTCTCCAGGTGTTGCTGGATTGTGACTCCCATAATCTCAGCAGTGGCTGCTTTAGTTAGAGGGTCACACATTTCTCCACTCTGCTGTAGGTGATTTAATATTCTCCTTACAATTGGACAATGGATCTTCTGCTTAGTTTAAGATTGTCCTGGATTTACTCATTGAAGTATGGCTGTGAGTCAGATTTCCCAGAAGGTGAGCATGTTATCTTTTTAAGCGACATTGCTATCAGTGCTGTAAGAATAGAATATTGATTCCCTTTGTAGCCTTCAGCAAAAATCTGACTTAAATTACTCACTCCCCCCACCCTGCATATGAGTGGAAAATGCTTTCCACATACTAACACCCTGCTTCCTTGGCACCAGTGTGTTGTGCTACAGAGGTACTGATTCAAGTTTTGTGGTTAAAACAAAGCACACAAACATCTTTAGATGGACACTAGTAGGCAGAAGTGCTGCTGCTGCTTATTTCTCAGTAGTTGCTGGACTTGTATGAACTGAACGATTTGCTAAATATAATTGGGCAAAGTATTGCCGGTTTGTCACATTGCTGTGTCTGCTTTCATCTAACTAGCATGCATAGATTTTCCAAAATGTGGGATGGAAGAATTAAAAATATTTAATTTGAAGAGGAAAATATAACAAGATATTATATTGGGGAAAATTGTTGAAACATTTTACTAAAGTTCAATTTATTTATTAGAAGTTAAGCAATTAGAATAGAAGCACATGATAACGTTTTGGTAGATGCCTTGGCTTGAGGCGGGGGTGGAGAAAAGCCAACTGTGTTTCTAATGTCTTTTGTATAATTTTTTTATTATTTTTAATTTCTAAAGGGTGGGCTACAGGGGTGGGGAAGGTTGCATTTTAAGCCAAATAAAAATGTTAAACAAAAATTTATAAACACACAAAAATGAGTTCAACTTTCCTACAGGATTTCCTGTATTGGAGTTGGCCTTATTTACCTAAAGGCCCCGTTCCACTCTTGTGATCCTATAATGAGATGCGAGTATACTCAGCAAAATGTAATCCCTATGAATTCTAAATAGAGAGAGAGAAAGGTACAAAATACAGTGTGGTAAAAACTATCCTATTTTGGTTATTCTGTTCTTGTGTCACATTTTTCTTCCCTTTTGTATAATAGTGTGGTAAATATGCTTGGGGATCAGCTTTACAGCTGTTCTAGAAATGGGAATTGCTGTAGTGATAGATCTTACATATTAATTGGTGTTTCAGAATATCTGAGCAAATCTTAAATCTACTGAAATCAGATTTCTATAGTATATTGAAGTCTGCCATGAGCTGGAAAACATGCATGCATACAAATATAAAATTTCCTGGTGTAGATTAAATGATGATATGCTGAAAGGAATGGAATACTGAATGGAAAAGTGTTAGTTTTAAAAAATGGCTAGTCACATATGCCAAATAATCTTCCCAGCATCTGATTAAATAAATAATAAATAAATAATCTTGCAAACCGATTCATTGTGATGGATAGGTTGAGACTTTCCTCATCTCTCTTGTATTTCTCCTCTTCTACCTTTGGTGAAGCTCCCTGTTGCTTGTTTACTGCAATGACTTGGTTATTGTTTTCTATGTGCATTTGTTCAGCTTTGTAGAACTATCCTGAGATGGAGGCTCAACCAACACCTCTATGCATTGGCTCAGAGTGGAGAGGCCTGTACAAAGTTTGGGAAGAGGCTAGGCTCTGTTTATTCACAGATCAGAGGTCCCACAACCCCAATCCAGGGAGAATGATGACATATAAGTAAATCTAACTCTGTGTATGAACTAATTAAATCCAGGACAACCTGAAGATGTAATAACTAACTAAAACCAACTGCTATGTGCTGCTTCCATTCATTTTTTTAGATGGTTGCTGCTTATTGACTTCAGGCTGTCTGTGGAAAAGAAGCTCCTTTGCCAAAATCCAAGAAAAATAGTAAATGGAATGGTTGGAACTGCTTGTTCTCTGACATAGGTGTTGGAAATAAAATTTGAGGTGTTGTGACTCAAATATTAATGGCTGTCAAAAAGCATGGCTTGATTTCGAGGTCACATTTCAGAGACAAACTGTCTTGCTGCAATGCAGGCTGTGTTCCTACCTTGCATAGCTGTCTCCCCTCCTGACCTTCTCTATCAGTGCTGCGTCGAGGTACTGCCAGGAGCCAGGATTGTACTGAAGGCTGGTTGTGTTTTTGTTTTCCCTGAAGTACTTTGCATTTTCAAAGTACTTTTTGTTTTATGGATTGCCAGTATCAACATTTTCAGAGAGGAGCCTTGCTGTTTTGTAACTATTTGGTGCTTCCAACTCATTCCTGACTTATGGTGATTGTAAGGCAACCATATTAGGGTTTTTGTGGCAAAAATTATTTGGAGGAGGTTTTCCATTGCCTTCTTCTGAGGCTGAGAGAGTGTGACTCTCCAAAGCTCTCCCAGTGGGTTTTATAGCCAAACACACCCTCCTCCCTGAGAATGTGGTTGGAATGCTATAGGTTTAGGTTACAGCAAGAGTTTTTTCTTTTCATTCAGGAGACATTTGTCTCCAAAATGAGATTGATCTGAATTTCTTGTTGTGTTCTGATTCTCAACTAGTGAGAATCATTTTCTTCCTTCACTCAGGGAATGGAAATGAATGGCTATGGGGTTTCTTGTTGTTTTGTTACCACTGTGTGCTAAAATAACACAGAATATTACAGTGTGAAATGCTAAATGTTTGCACCTTTGATAAAGCATGTGTATTATATTTCCACTTACCTACTTGATTTTTTTTTTGTGTAAAATTTACCTTTGTATATTTTTTCCTATTTGGGAATCATGCAACTTGCTGCTGGATAGTTGTGAATTAACACCCCCACCTCACCACATCTATCCTGGTTTTAAATATAAACTAAGAGTTCAAGAATCATAGCAAATATTTCAATCCATGTAAAATAAATAAAAATAAATGTTCATTGTTGGCATCTGAGAATTGTGGCCTTTTTTTTTTTTTTGCTGGTGACTATAATACCCACTTGAGGATGTTATACTGTACATATTTCAGTCTTTAATGAGAAAGTATTGAGACTATAACATTTCATGTATTTCTTTGGGGTTTTTTTTTAGATTGAGTTGTTGTCAAAAAAGAAAAATGAATAGTGTATAACACATTTGGAAGTAAACTGGTGCCTATATCAGCTGGAGCTGTCCAAATAAGACAGTGTATGTAGCTAATATAGGTCTGCTTTACTTGTTCCCTTGTTACTCAGAGATCCATCATTCTCTAAGACTGATTACATTCTACCCCTGACTTGGGTATTTAGCAGAAGATCTGACTCGGGCATCTTGCAATTCTATAGTAGCTCAGGAAGAGAATGTGGTTGGAATTTGACTTGTAGATAAAACAACACAAGTAGGAAAACACAGCTATGCAGGTAGTCGTGGTTAATTCCAGACATAGTGAAATATAAAACTGCTAGGAATTTGACATCTTTCTGTAGACTTTCCAACCTGAATTTATTGGTCAGACATACAGCTAGGTCTGTAGTTACCTTGTGGAAGAGAATTTCTTGTGCTTTTCGGAAAGCAAAAGAGTTGCTACTATGGGTTCTATTAGAGATTACCTGGCCAGGGACCTGGTTAGAGATAAAAATAGCAAGATAAGTGGTCATCTGTTACAACTAGCTCTATCACATGCCTTCTGGCTAGCATTTGAGCCTTCCACCTTTGCAGCACCAGTTCTGTATGTGTTAAGAAAACGTATCAAATGCCAAGGTGTTAATCATGCTCTAATCTATGTGAAACTCTTTTCTGCCTTAGAAAATGGTCTTTTCAGCATTTAGGCTAATGAATCTTAGTTACTGGAGGTGAGTTGCCAAAAACATGTGCACTCATCTCCTGTTTTTTCTTCTGCTTAGATCGGTTGTTATCTTAAATTCTCCATAGTGCTGCTTTCCAATAAGAAAGAGTAACTGCTATCTCTTTTGTTTTCACAGATGATGTAACTAAAACTCTCCTAACTAAACTACATACCTTATCTGATAGAGGACTTTTCACAAAGCAGTACTTCTGATTTCCTGGGTATGTTCTGTGCACTGAGCAACCATGGACTCCAAGCAGAAGTGTCAGGTAATCTTTCTGATCGTGCATTACTTCTTGCACCTTTTTGAGCGTCTGTAACAGATGTGGATAGAGTTGAGACTGTCCAAATCTAATGGTTTTTGGCACTCTTCTCACTTTTAGCCACTGTGCACAACTGTACACACTCTCTCACACACATATATACATACATACAGTATATATATTTCTTACATTGATTTGCATAACAGTATTTGTGTAGAATATAGATGGCTGTTTTGTGGCCTTCAAAGTATTTTGAACTGCAACTCAGGACAGCATAACAAACATCCTCATAGCAGGATGGGTGTGTGTGTATCTGTGTATGCAATATCATCATAATTGTTGTTGCAGGGATGATGATAGTTGCAAACGATTAGGCAGTGACATATGAATGGGATTGAATATAAATCTAATGACATATGATCTTTGTGGAGGAATTTCACAGTGGTGCTGCATCTAGTCCAGTTTGATGGTGAAGATATTTTCACTTGGATATGATATGCAATTGGAAAAGAAACATACAGATAAATGGAGGCATGAGAGAGAACTGGAGATGATGATATTTGAAAAGAACAAGATAAAAGTTTTTAGTTCACAACTTCCTCTTGAATCTAGATAGCCAATGAGAATTCTGTTGCCTTTGATTCTACAAACAGGTTAGATGAAGGCATTTGTTTGTGAGTGCATTTGGGAATTAAGTTTTATTCATGATGCTGTCTCCATGGCTTCTTGTCCAGAACGTTTCCAGCAAGATGAATTTATTTGGAAGTTTCTTTGGAAGAGTAGGACTATGACACTAATTGTTCAGCTTTTACTCTTTGTTTGCTGTGCTGTAGTGTCCCAGACACACAATTTATTAAGACCCTTTATCTGATCAGTGTGGCTTGTGAAAATTATGGAGGAGCTCAGTTTGTAAGTCAAATTGTCCAAGTGACGGATAGGAGAATGAGTTCATGGCTAGTAGCATGAAAGCAGGTCTCTTATCAGATCTAGCTTGTCATTACTCTCTTGAGAGAGGTGGCTTATTCTGATTAAGTTACCAATCATACATTCTTGCTGAAAGAGGGAAGACAACTGCCAAGTTATCTTCATGTCATGTTTTTTTAAATGAGATGTGGCAGAGATCCTGGATTGAAAGACAAATTGCATATGTGTAATTGCAATAGCCTTCTGTTCAATCCCACATTTTCTTCCCAGTACCTCTCTCACACACACAAAATAGCCATTTCCTCTCTGGTGGAGAACAAGGGGAACTACTTCAGAAGTGTTGCACTGTTGTCAGGATATGCAATGGCTGAGTAGTCACTCAGCCATTGCATAATTCTCAATGGGCTCCAGAGGGCTTCTTGGAAATCCCAAAGAATGCTTGTCACTGCCATTCAATTGCAGGAACATAGTTAGGTGCTTCTCTGTTTCTCCTCTCACTCACTACCAGCTAGAAAAATGCTATGTTTAGTGGAAGGTTCTTTAGCAGGAAAAAGATGTGACTTGGGGGGAGGATTTTGGTTATAGAATTCCAACATTAACAAAGAACAAAAAGGAATTTATGATGGCATAAGGTACACTGATCCCATTGCCACTCACAAACTGTTGCCAGCCATGGTTTGGCAATTGCTGTTATGTGACAGTGGAAGGCATTTGCTTGGGCAACCAGAGAATGCAGGGCTTAGTTGTGGGGAGAATAATGTAAATTAATGTAAAAAAGGGAAGAACAAGGAAACAGTGGGGCCTCTGCATGGAGAAGGTGGTAAAATGCTAACAGGGAATAAGGAAAAGGCAGAGCTGTGCAACACCTTCTTTGCCTCAGACTTCTTCCAAAAGGAAATCAGTGTTCAACCTGAGCAATAGGGAGTGAACAAGGTAATAGGGAAAATGCAACCCAAAATCGGTAAAGAAGTAGTCCAGGAATACCAGACAACTCTAAATGAATTCAAGTCTCCAGGGCCAGATGAACTGTATCTAAGGGTATAGAAGGAACTAGCAAAAGTCATTTCAGAACCACTGACAATAATCTTTGAGAATTCTTGGAGAACCGGAGAAGTCCCAGCAGATTGAGGAGGACAAATACTGTCCTTATCTTCAAGAAGGGTAAAAAAGAGGACTCAAGTAATTACTGTCTAGTTGGCCTTGCATCAATACATCATTAAGGACACGGTCTGTAATCAGTTAGAAAAGAATGCTGTCATCACTAAGAGTCGAAATGGATTTCTCAAAAGCAAGTCATGCCAGACTAATCTTATCTCTTTTATCGATAGAGTTACAATCTTGGTAGATACAGGAAATGCTGTGGATGTAGCGTACATTCATTTCAGTAAAACCTTTGACAAGGTCCCCCATGATCTTCTTACCAACAAACTAATCAAATGTGGGCTAGGCCATACTACTGTTAGATGAAGTTGTTATTGGTTAAGCGACTGAACCCAAAGGGTGCTCACCAATTATTCTTCATCCTGGAAAGTAGTGACTAGTGTGGTGCCAAAGCGTTCAGTCCTAGGCCCAGTATTGTTCAACATCCTTATTAATGACTCAGATGAAGGTTTTGAAGGAATACTTATCAAGTGTGCAGATCAAAATTCGAAATGACCTTAACAGATTACAGAGCTGGGCCAAAACTAACAAAATGAATTTAAATGAGGAAAAATGTAGGATACTTCTCTTTGGCAGAAACAAAATGCATAGATACAGGATGGGTGACACCGGCTTGACAACTGTCCATGTGGACAAAAAGTTGAACATAAGCCAACAGTGTGATGCAGCAGCTAAAAAAGCCAATGGGATTTTGGGCTGCATCAAAAGCAGTATAGTTTCTAGATCAAGGGAAGCCATGGTGCCTTTCTAATCTGTTTTGGTCAGACCTCACCTGCAATACTGTGTCCAATTCTAGGCACCACAGTTTAAGAGATATTGGCAAGCTAGAATGTGTCCAGTGGAGGGCGATTAAAATGACCAAACATCTGGAGACCATGCCCTATGAGGAGCAGCTTAAAGAGCTGGGTATGTTTAGCCTGTAAAAGAGAATGCTGAGAGAAGACATTATCGCCATGTTTAAATATTTGAAATGCTGTCATTAGGAAGAGGGAGCAGGCTTGTTTTGTGAGACTAGGACCCGGAACAATGTGTTCAGATTACCAGAAAGGGGATTCCACTTGAACATTAGGAAGAACCTCCTGACCCTAACAGCTGTTTAACAGTGGAACTCTCTGCCTCGGAATGTGATGGAAGCAAGCTCTTTCTTTGGAAACTTTTAAACAGAGGCTGTATAGCCCTTTGTTGGGAGTGCTTTGGTTGTGCTTTTCCTACATGGCAGGGGGTTGGACTAGATGACCTATGTGGTTTCTTCCAGTTCTATGATTCCAATACTGTTGGGGATAAAGTCTCCCTTCCTGGAATGTGTCTGTAGTTAGTTTACCGAGGGCAGATGAAAGAGGATCTGTCAGGAGTGTTTTGAATGCAATTTTCCTGCTTCTTGGTAGGGGGTTGGATTGGATGGCCCATGAGGTCTCTTGCAAATCTATGATTCTAGGATGTGGCTATAACAGTTGATCTATTTCTGTCCCTTTTCTTCAGAGGGCTCCCTCTTTGTACAATATGGAGTGTATCATCTGCTCTTGAACAGGGCAGTGTGGAACAGCAATAAAATTGCAGGAGAAGATCAATGGCAAGCTAACCACTGCACAGGATGCAGTGTTCTGTAATACAGGATCACCATATAGAGAGATCCTTATTCCCCTTTTGTTTGTCTTTTTTCCTGGGCAACTGACACAAGCAAGAACAGGTTATACATCAGGAGTGGCAAGTTTGTGGCCATCCAGATGTTTTTGGATGATGACTTCTGTCAGCTTAACTAAAAGCTAAGAGTGATGTTGTAAGCAGCAATCTGAAAACGGGATGGCCATGAATTTTCATCTGCTGTTCTATAGCATTTCTTTCTAAAGGAATCTTGAAATTCCTCCTTTGGAAAACATAGATTTAGACGATGTTTTTCATCATACTCATAGCACCCACATCTAAAAGAGCCTTTCCCCAGCCTATACTCTAGACATGTGGGACTCCAGTTCCCACCATCTCAATACTAGTCATGTTGACTTGGGATTATGGAAATTGTAGTCTAACACATATGGAAGTACAGAGTTGTACAGCTTGCCTTGGTCTATTTGCTGTTTGCAAAGGTTCCAAATCTGCACTAGACTCTGCATTTGCTCAGTAGAGTGTGAATGCTTCTGTGCATTAACCACAGCAGGGTAGCTTTTTACTTTGAAGTCTTGATGGATGCGAAAAACATAGTAGTGCAGTATCTCTGTCTGGGTAGTTGACACACTTTGCCATTGAATTATGGACTTCTTCTGCCCTACTAATCTAAGAGGAGTAGAAGCCACATTCCAATAAAGATAGCCATGCTGGGTAATAATGGTTGAGTGACCTACTTTGGTATTGATCAGTATGAGACATGTGGCAATTGCTACTTGTAGGAATGTTTTCATAACCTCAGACAGGGATATGGTTGTACGTGTTTGTTTCAGAACCACTGAAACGTAAAAACGCTTATGCCATTGTACAACATTGAGTAAGTCTTTATGAAGACAGAAGCACTTTGCTATTACTTAGGTCAACAGTGACCATGTTCATGAAACCGTACTCTTGACATGAGTGGCTGGCTCATACTTGATGTAGTAATTTGTTTTCCATAGCAAAAATAGGAATTGCGAAATGTATGTCATGATATGTATGGGTCTCTGGAAGTCAAATACATTGTTCAAGGTATAAAGTATAAAATAGTTCCTGCTTCATATGATCAATTACTTGTAGTATGTCTTTGCTGTACACTGTATCTATCTACATTGCAGGCCTTTTACCGTGTATATATTCTGGACAGGGCAGCTTTGCCATCCATTTTCTGTCACAAACACTAAACTTGACATCCTGTCACCATTTTATGCCTTGTGTGGTTTTTCTCCCTGTTGACAGCATTTGCATGTCACAAGTCATGATGTGGTTAGCTGAAATTTGCC